ACCTCGAGGGTATGAATCTGAGGTGCGGCAACGCAGATGAGAGAAATGATGGGTGAAGGGATTGCGTGGCCCTGGGACCGTACTGTGAGCGAGAGCGGCTGCCCTTTAGCTCGTGAAAGCCACGTTTCGATGGTGAAAACAGCACCCTCTTTGGCCTCCGTAGTATCCTGTCGGGTGAATGCAACATCTACAGAGCTCCAAATCTCAGAGGTACCCAGAGCAATTTCCCGCCAATCGCGGCAGATCTGCGCCAACAAAAGTGGAGGAGCCGTCGGAGAGGGCTGCACTCGTCCATGGGCTGGCAAGCACTGGACGAAAATTCGAGCGGTGAGCTCTGGAGGAAGCGATAGGATGGGATACATCGTTTCAGCCAGTTTGAGCTCTAGAGTGTCCCGCTTTGCTGTGAGCTCTGAGATGTATGTCTGGTGTCGCAGGATTTCGAGATTGACCGACTGCAAATTGGCGCGTAGCTGAGGTGTCGAAGAGGATCTGAGTGGGCTCGAAGGGCCCGCGGAAGCTGGGGATGGGGCCTCGCCATTGCGATGCCCACATCGTTCGCAGATAATCGACATGAGTGCTTGTTTCGAGGTGTGATGACTGCCGCAAGGGCGGTCCGGATCATCGGCCCGAGCAGTCTTCATCCTCATCTCGCAATTTTGCTCAAATTTTGCTTGAAACCTTACGACTATGTGTAAGGGGATTCTGGAACCAGAGACTACTCGAATTTATAATGCTTCTAAGTCCGGTGAATATTTGACCTATCTTCCTGCTAGCGCTTGGAACTGTGAAACAATGAGATTCCGCTTGTTACAGGGAAAAAGCGGTCTTCTCAGCCAACTGAATTCGGACGCAGGGAGTCGAACCCCGATTTGCGAAGTACTCGCTATTTGAGAATAGCGTGCTTACTACTAGCGCTCGCGGTGTGCCGTACACCACGCCCGAATATTTAGCCTACTCATTCCTGCGTACAGAGTAAGTGAAACAGCGTCAAGCCCCAATATTTTAATGCTATAGACATCACCAAGGAACTCGAAGGCGGAGTCGGACCATTTATTCGTGGGCCTCCGGGTTTGGACGCGCCGGTAATGCATCAGAGACGGGAGCCTGTTGCCACCGATTCCGTGACAAGAAGACTCTGAACATGAACTGGATACGGGAAAGGCGAGGAAAAAACGAGGAGCTCCTCCGACGTCGGACGCGGGGAGTCGAACCCCGATGCGCGAGGTGCTACGTTGCAGTCACCAGAGTATTCGTGCTCGTGGTGTGCTGCACACCACGTCCGAGTATTTGTCTGGCAATCTCGTGCGTGAATTCCCTTTGATTTGGTCACAGCAAGACGGCCGGACGGAATGGAAGCGCAAATTGTGCCAGTGCATAACCAGATCGAATGGCGCTGGGTGTCGATGAATGTGGGGCCGAGAGGACGCGTCAGTGGACAGCATTGGGACAGTACGCAGAATCACTCCAATACATGGACGTGTATACAAGGAGACGTACATACATCCATTCTCCGCATGGCGCGAATACGGGAGGAGAATCGCGCTGCGTCGTGGAATACATGGGAGATTCAATAGCGAAGAGAACCGGAAGAGGGAATGGAAGGCCGGGCGCTGGATTGGCAGTATGCCGTCGAGGAGTACGAAGACCCGTGGAATTTGGGTCTCCGCTTGCGTATCCGGATCCTGGCCCGAGCTCGAGTTCGAGCTAGCGGCGCAGCACAAGCCAGAGTACGACTCTGCTGCACCCTGCGCAGACGATGGTCCAGTGGGCATCGAACCGACGCATCCCCATCCAGGAGTCGGACCAGGACGGCCTCGCCTCATTCATCTCTCTTTCTCCCTTCTCCAGTCACCCTCGTCCACCGTCGCCCACGTCGCACGCATGGACAAGGGAGAGGCACAACGATTGTGCATCCGGCTCGACGCCGCATCCCGTACGGATATGAAACGCGTGGTATATGCGCCGGGAGCGCGCATGTCTGCACAAGCACGTTGCATTGAGGACGCAGCTGTCCCTCTCCCTTCTTCCTCGTCCCCATCCCGCGCCGTGGCACTGCGCTGCGAAACTGAAGCTGCTCTCCCCCGCGCCAGCATCAGCATCAGCCCCACCCCCAGCCGGCAGAGAATGTGGAGAAGATGAGCAGCGCCCGACGCACCCTCACCCTCACCCCCCTCTCGAGTGCGGAGGATATCGCACTCGCGGCGCGTGGTCTTCCCCCTTCTCGATCCTACTCCCGCTCATCGCCCCCCGCGAGATTTTCACAAATCTTCCCTTCGCCCGCGCGGGCTCAAAACGCCAGGTACGGAGCGTCGGCGCGAATCGACGGGGGTAAGATGCCCGTGTCGCACAAGGTGGTGCCGTGGTACCACGCCGATAGCGGGTACTATCTTCCTTTGCGCGCAAGCGTTCAGGGCTCTATCTCCCGCGCCGGCGATGTCCCCAGCCGGCGGACAGCGATGCAGAATGTGGCGGGATGGATGGAGAGATGGAGTACGGTGCCACGTCGACGCACACAGAAACCCGAGCTCCCGCGCGCGCCTTGTCCGGTGTCGAATTCGAAGGGTGAGCTGGATCCCGCTCCGCCCGCACGCGCCCCTCATGCATGCATCCTCTCATCCTCATCCAGGGCAAGTGCGAGCGGACGCAGGCACAAGAGGCTCGCTCTGATATGAGGCGTGCGCGCGCGACGCATAGTCCTCAAGTCCACGCACTGAGGCGGGGCTGTGGGAGAGCGAACGGGGTCGGCGTCACCCGCGCCTCCTCCTCCCTCTCCGTCGCTGTGCTCCCCGGCTGTGCCTCCCTTCCCGTGCTTCTCGCTCCCTGCTTGTCGTCCTCACCCGCTCCCGCTCCCTACCCCCACATCCACATCCACATTCATATTCAGCTCGACGGTGACGTCCCGAACGACAACGCCAAACCCGCAGACGCATACATACATGTGACAGACAGACGGCGGAGGCGGGCGCGTTACGCGGACCCAGCTACGACGGAAGGTATCTGTCCGTGTGCGCCGAGGCATGCGCTGGGACGCGCGGACCAGCGAGACCGAGACGCAGATAATAATATCCAAAATCGTCGCCCGGTGGCGAACTGCGCTGCAGCCATATCCATCCTTGCCGCTGTGCGAAGGGCGTGACCAGTCAGCGTCTTCCAAGCGCGACACGGCTACATGGGGCACGAGGGACGAGGCGCTTCACTGTGGCGCGCGCGGGATGCGTAGTCTTCCTCTTGTTCTGCGGCGTCATCACGTCGAGGATTTGAATCTACGGAAGTAGGGCAGGAGGGAATGCGGCGAGGAGGAGGAGAATGAGGCTGATGGGCGACAAGCAAGCAACTGGCTTTGCCGATACAAGATTGGCCGCACCGTGGGGGACGGGCCCAACGGACAGGGCGAGCTTGCAGAGCACGAGCATCAGAGATGCGTGGTCCTCGGATCCCCTTGCACATCGCAGGGGCCAGCGGAAGACGAAGACCAGCTCGAAAACGCCGGCGTAGCTACTCCGAGTCGTCGAATCCGTCTTGTGGAAGGCGCGGGAACGGACGCGGCTTGCGACGGCAGCGAATTCTGTGTTTTGCTGGATGCGAGGGGCGAAGGGGGTGGACGCGGCGAGGGGCGGATGCGCGAGCCAAGCAGGGTTGGATGGGTGCTGCAAAAGTACGAGTATAGATAACTTTCGCCTCCGCAGCTCCACTTCATCGTCGCCCATATCCAAGTCCAGCTGCGGATTCGAAGTCGGTGGCAACATCGCTGGCATGGTCGCAGCGCGCCAGTACGAGGGCGGGCGCTGCTCGTCCTCGGACGGCGCGGGCGGGGCGGGGCGTGCATCGCGCGCGAAGAGGAGAATGCAGCGGCGGGCGTTGGAGGCCGCATTGGATGGATGTGTACCGGGCGTGTAGCGGTGGGGTTCGAAGAGCTATTCATGGGGCTCAGCGTGTGGACGGATACGGATACACAACGAGAGAAACGCACCAGCACCACCGCGCGCGCGGCGGGCTGCATCTGTCTGCGTGGATTCTTGACACCGCGCTGATCTGCAAAGCCCTCGCTTCCTCGTTCCGATTTTGTGAGCACCGCGGGGTTCGCACTGGGAGCGGATGCCGACTCGTACGACGCGCGCGCGCACGACTGGCTCCGTCCTCGTCGTCGGGGATGGGGAGTGAGCCGGGGAACGGTCATTTGGCGACGACCGCAACTGTGCGCCTGCTACGTTTTGAAAATGGTTTCGGAATTTCGGGGAAGGGGTTGGCGAGGAGTAGACGCAGATAAATCTAGGCGGATGTGCCTCACGTTGCACAGAGCCTTCGTCGCCGCGCATTAGGGCCACCAAGATAATGCCACTGGGTTTGCGTACTTTCATTGGGAGGTCGTGTTAGGGTCTTCGTTGTTTCAAGCCTCGGCCTCCTCAGTTCTAGTCAGCGTAGGCAGAGCCAATTGCGAGCTTTGGGACTCGAGAGACGGGATTATCGACTCGGGAGACGGATTATTGAAGTCTGACAAGGGAGTTGGTCGAATCCTCAAGAGGGTGTCGCCATGCGCTTTGCGGAGAATGAGGATTCGGAGGATTTTCGCATCGCAGCCTCGCAGGAGGCAAGGTGGGAGTCGGACCAGGGGCAAAATCGCGAAGGGAATCGGCGACGGGAACCAGCCTGAGCTTGGAAAAGAAGCACGGCACCAAGCACGAGACGGACAAACATACCACAACAACAACGCGTCGCGTCTTCTCAGCCACACGGATTGACCTTTCACTGCATTCCAGATTGTCATTTCATGTTAACGAGGGAATAGTCTAAATAACCGGGTAGTGTCTATAATTACGGTGTCTACCTTGCCTCCCTGTTACCCTTGCTGCTAAGATTTGCGTGTAACACCAGACAGGGCGATCTCTTCTTGTTCTGAGTTCATACAGACAGGGCGATCTCTTCTTGTTCATACATAACCAGATTGCGAATTCGCAATTATGGCGAATCGTACTTGGAGGGCTTTGAAGACGAGGGTATAAGCATCGGTAGTGGATGGACCACACACCAGCGCTGAGAACTTTTCCCTTTGGGTTTGCAACGGTGAATTCAACCGGGGTTCGATTCCCCGCCGGTGCCTTTGCTGCTTTCCAGTCGTTTTTCGTCGTCGCACTATCGGAAGCTGTTTACGAAGGATAAGTTATCGGACTAAGTAGTATTAGTAAAGTAAAAGCACCGGTGTGTGGAACACGCACCTTAAGATCCAAGAGAAAATCTATGTATGACCGTGACGCTCGATTCCTCGCCGCCGGTGGGTGTTGCAGAAAGACAATCTTTTCTGCCCCCCTTCTCTTGCCGCTGTTAATGGGGGAAGTAGATTTACCAACCCAATGTAAGCCTCTCCAGCCGTAGGCCCGTAGACACCACGCTGAGACCATCCCAAGCTGATCCGATTTGATCATGACTTGTGGCTAAAGCATCAACCCAGCACCGAATTCGCACCTCGCGCGAAAGAGCAGTCGGCCGGTTGCTGGCCAGTGTTGCGACTTGAACCCTGTAAATACAAGCTGATGCCCGCCAACTTAAAACATAACTCGGTTCGGGCTCACCGGCGCGCACACGGCACCGCGAGCTACCGGCTGTGAGGAGGGCAGAATTTGCATGTGTCTCTGAGGTAAGTAAAGGAAGGGTACGAGCATCGGTGGTGTGTGGAACACACGCCAATATAATGGTCGTTGATGCCAGCCTCGACGTTCAACGTTCAACGGTGACGGGGTTCGACCCCTGTTCTGAGCTTTTTTTCTCCTGCTGAATTTTGGCTTGAAGCGCGTGCTTAGAGGACACCCGAAAACAGTACTTGTCAATGTATATAGATTGAAATTCCCTTGCCCGGCTCCAAAATCCATATTATCGAGAAGAAGCGAGGAGAAAGCGGAAGACAGGCGTGGTATTGGCGCAGTAGGGATAGACGATACGAATCGGCACAAACAAGGAAGCCGAGAGAATGTGCGCCATCCACCGCCGCGGGAGGGGAGAGCGAAAACAAAGAGGAGGAGGGGAAGACAAGGAAGGGAGGTGCGGGGCGGGGAGCCGGCGAAAAAGAAAGGAGCGCAGAAAAGGACGGCAAAGGAAAGGGACGAGGGGGACGGGAATGAGAATAGGTGAGGGACAGGAATAGACAGAAAAGGAAGAATAGACGCGGCGTGAGAGCGCGGGACGCAGCTGCGGCCTGGGATGCGCGCGGGCGGTCGGTGTCCTCGAGATCGCCACCGCAGACTCTGCGTCGGCTCATCACTGGCATCCTGCTCCCCATTCCCATCACCAGAGAAAAGGAAGGCACCATCTCCGACATCGTATTGCACGCACGGCGCAGCCCGCGGGCGGGCGCGGGAGCAACGACGTGGCCGCGGGGAAGCCATACGCATGGAGCCGATGGACAGGGTCGTGGCGCGATGAAGAATCCTGGGGGCAAGCAGACGGCTTCGACAACAGCTACAGATGAGGATGGGTGATGCCAGCGCGCGGGCGGGCGGCGCACTGGCGCAGGCATCGGAACTGACGGACGAGAACTAGTCAGGCCAAAGTCAGGCAGAGTCGGAGTATTCGCTTGTGAGTCTCGATGACTGTATGAGACCAGTCCACGGCCGTTGAGGATACGAAGGGCATGGAGGGCTTCGGCCATGAGGTCCTGGTAGCACTCTAGCAGTGGGAGGACGAGGAAGGACGAGGAGGAAGGTCAACACTCGAGGTCACGGGTACAACAAACAATGCACAACAACGCGCCGCATAGCGCGATTCAAAAAAAAATTAGACCGATTGAGTTTAAAGTCAGAAGCACCTGCGGGGTATGGAATATACACACCAGTAGCATTTACGCCAGACTACGGAGGTAAGAAGGGGTTCGATTCCCGGCCGGTGCATCAAGGGTATCAATATCTGTGAATTTTGGAACAGGGGCCGGTTCTTGAAAATAAGACCTTCGGTTTGAACCAACCAACCACGTGACGTCCATATAAGGGAGATCATTCCCGCGGGTCACGTTTTTCCCAACATCTTTCCGCCCATGACACCTCAAAACACCCTCACTGCTGCTTGAAACCGGTTATAACCATCGCAGGTAAGCTTATCATGGTTGCTATAGGCCACCAAGCGTCATGAAACATTGTTCAAGTGGCAGCCAACATGAACCAACCAAGTACCAAATCGGGGTTGAACCGCCGAAAATCATCAAAACCTATCCAAAAGCTATAGGCTCTACTTCTGTGCCTGGAGACGAGTTCAGACACATAGTGAGTACCATATGTTACCATTTTGAACCCCCCAGAGCAGCAAAATTAATGGTTCCCGGAATTTTTTTTAAGGCCTGACGGCCGAACCAACCAACCAGCCCCTGTTCCGGCAATCACGGCCCGGCATACCCTTGCGGTGCATGGGGCCCACCTCATCGTTTTGTTTCCTTCAAGTTGCCTCATACCCCAATAGAAAGATTGCCACCTTATTCCAAGTAGACGAGGGGTTTAAAGGAGCGAGATTAGGACCGTGGATCATACTCCTAAAATGATCGAAATTGAATTTAAACCATTCTCAGTGTTTCTTTCTTCTCGTGTATGTACCAAACGTCGACAGTGTCTATGAAACTCAAATGGAACTCAACAACGAAAGGTCGATACACACCGGCTGTGCATGAGACATGCAGCAGAATACATGCCATCGGCCAAGTAACGCGGGTGGTTCGATTCCCCCGCGTGCGGTTCCATGGTATCTTCGCGCTCTTTTTTGACCCCACTAAATGCACGTAGCTTCATCTTGTTAATAAGAAGACATGAATTTCTTAAAACACCAGTCACTCATCTTGCTAAAAAAAAATGAATTCACCATTAGTATGTAAATTCATCCGCACAATGGGCTGCAACTCGATCTTGTTGTCCCTTACTTCCGTCACAGGCGCATTCACGCCATACTCCGATATCAGTGCTTGAAGAAGGGAGGGTATACATATAGCTATATGAGCATCCGTGGTGTTTGGAACACGCCTCAGCAATATGGAGAACAAGTGTCGAGTTGCAATGATGACTCGACGGGGTTCGAGTCCCCCGGTGCATGTGAGGATAACGATGGGTTTCCCCTTTTTTCGCTTGTCTTGTCTTGTCGTTCACTCCTCCCTTTGCTTCCCTCCCTTTCTCAGCTTTGGGCAAATGGCCAGCCTACGCACAAGATCGTTTCGATGGAAGCGAGAACAGACACCAATCTGTCCCGCGGAATCCTGGTGGGAAATGAGCTCAACTTCGACGGCATTCCCGGATCCGGTTTTCCACTTCTCAAGAGAGTAAAACGTGGGCTCGGGGGAAAGTGTGTCAATGCGCACCGGTGGTGTCCGGAATACGCACCAATACTATGGCTATACGAACTAGACTAAGTTGCAATGGTGAGACGGGGTTCGACTCCCCCCCGGTGCGTGTCAGTGACGGATGGCAGCTTTTTGTTCCTGTTCCTTGCCGCCTACTCTACCAGTGGTCTAGGCAAATTAGGTCTTCAATCGTGTCCCATTTCTTTGCCTCGTAAGTACCCAACCAGACGAATTAGGTCTTTACTCGAAGGGTTGAACAGGAGGAGGCGGGCCAATACGCACTAATTCGATATTTCGATTCGTCAGAGAAACTCGACTCTGATAGCATTATTGCTGCCAGCTGGATATGTACTTTACGGAAACACAGGGGATGCTTTGACTGAGCTCTTATAAGCACCGATAGTGTGTGGTGCACGCACCAATATGATATGTAGTTCTCCACGTTGTGCCGCGGTGACGGGGTTCGATTCCCCTCCGGTCCATACAACCGTATCATATCCGTATGGTCATTTTTTGTTCTCTGAGCTTGTGGAAAATATGTGTGCAGGCGCAAATCAGCAGGCCTTGATACGAATCGGGCTCGGTGTGCGCGAACCAACTTTTTATCCCAAATCCATGATTGCAAGCTTCCGAACAACTTCCGAAGGCCTTTTTCTTGTAAGTAATATTAGTATGAGTGTGTCGATGGCAATTCCACGCCTGAAACGGTGAGACTAGATTTGATTGCCCGACGGTGCTGATACTGTAGTATCTCAAGCAATTCAATGGGCCGGACCAATTTTGACAATATGTTGCAATTATGTTGGACTTCAACTTACGGCACTCGTCGGCAAATCGCGGGAATCAACCGCCATCATCGCGCGTCATGGTTCCCTGATGGCCGCTAACATCGGCAATGAGTCGTGGTCCGTGCGCACAATCGTTGTATGTTTTTTTCGGACGGGCGAGTGCCTAACCCTAATCTTAAAAGTATCAATATATATCGCTTGGACCGCGGTACGTAACGCAACATGGACGCCGGACGGTTACTGTGTTGAATTTATGGGTACTTACCTGCCAGCGGTTTACTTTCGCATTCAAGATTGCTGCTTTGTCCAGCGCACGTTCTTTTGCCAATCATTACAACTCTTGTCGTACGTTACAAGGCACTGAATTTCTTGTCATATTCGCCGACAAGAATTCGGTGTAATTCGGTCACAACTGTATCGGACCTCGTTCAACTGATCCACGGAATATAAGCATCATCCATAATTTGCAGGGTGTGAGGATCCAGCGTGCGGCATCCCAGATGAGGCTCTGCCGGGGCACGATGAATGTTGATTCAGGGGAGCAGAGCATACCCGGGTCATGTTGTTTCTGCATTGGAAACCTCCAACAGCGGAAGGTCTAGAGATATCGTAGCGGCATTGGTCGTAGGGTCGAACCCAAGCCGTTTGCTTCGGCTACTTCGTAGTGATGATCTTCCCAATGCTCTGCCTGAAAGCGTGTCCTCCAGCTCATCCAAATTTTGAGAGCCGAACAGGGCACTCGGCCATATGGGTGTAATACTGTAAAATAATTATTTGTGTAGCACCCCTGTTTTTTTTTCGAAAAAAAACCTGTCTTTGCAAGAACATGGCACAGGGTCGGGAACGGCCGATAAAAAGTGACCGTTTCGATAAAGCCAAAATGTAGCATAGGAGTTTCTGCGGTAAATAGTGAGTGGCCCAGTAGGAAGATGAATGCCTAGCCTGAAAGATGGGTTGAAGACGACGAAGGTACCTCGGGCCGCATCAACGATCCACGATCAGCA